CAGGTCATTTGAGAGCAGAGGTCGACACTTCCCACACGGACCAATCAGAACAGAAAACAGCATGAAAACATTTTCAATAACACAAATATATTATATTTATTATAATGATTATAATCACATATAAGCAGAATCCTTTGACTCTCTGCTGCTTCTCCCCAGAGACAAGAGGGACTTCATCTCATTTGGTCTCTGGAACTGCTACATGTTCTCCAGTCAACATAACAACAAAGGGCATCTATTCCCATCCTTGTTTATGAGACCAAAATAAAACACTGAGGTCTTGACAGGGACCACAGGGCCGGAGCAGGTGAAGGTACTTGATTCCATCGTCATGGAAAATCCCTCTTAGCTCTGAGGGCAGACAGCTGCCACACATGGCTGACATACCTTCTGACAGTCAGCCTTCACCCACTGATATAGAGACACGATTGTTGGTATTTGGTTGTTAGACTCACTTATCAACAGTGAATAACAGCAAACGTTTCCTTCTTTGCTTCCTCCATTCACCTTCTCCTCTCGTCCAGCCCTCCAGAATGGTCGCTCTCAATTTCTAATCAATGGTCACTGGAAGATTAGTGTTCCAGGTGAGTACAGTGTAGCTGGGACCAAGCTGCTGTACCGACGCTCCGCAGACACCTGGGAGAGCTTTGAGGTACCAGGACCCACCCAAGAAGACCTTCATCTGATGGTGAGAGACCCCTGATAAAACTGTAAGATGATCATCGTCTTTATCTGAGGACCTGGAGATGCTGTATCTGAACTATACCCATCCAGCTAACTAGCTTTTATAGTCTCTACCATGCAATGAATCCTGGGATAGGTTGGCTCTAGAAGAATCCACCCATTGGATCCTATGTTGCTCAGTGATGGAAGTTCAGGTTTGAAGGAGCCTCAGGGAGTTTTCCCTCTCTCAGTCGTCAGAGCTGCTCATTGTGGGAACTGTTGGTTTCTCTATAATTTTTAAGATCTTGACCTTCTATGTAAAGATCCTTAAGATAATGTATATCATGATTTGGTGCTATACTTATAAAATGTAATTGAATTAAATTGAAATGGGACAGCTTAGCCACAACCCATCTCTAAATGCATCCCTCAAAGGATGCAGCCACTGAATGTAGGACACATTTTAAAATACTCCATATTCTTCACAGATCATTCAAACCCAGGCCACTCTAAATGTTGCCATGTTGTTCTTGTGTGCAGGTGCTGGCAACAGACAGAAACTCGGGCATCGAGTACGAGTACTGGCTTCCATCAGACCAGTACGCCCTTTACCATGGGAGGAGGAGTCCACTGCGTCAGCCTCACCACACTGCCAGCTACTGGGATCAACCCACCACCACCCGGCCTCCTCAGGTCACCACCAAACCACACTGGAGTAAGATAAATCGATAGATACTTTATTGATCCCGAAGGAAAGTTAGGGTTATTTAATGGTTATATTAGGGTTTTAGGGTTATATCAAGGTTATATCAGGGTTATATTTAGTTACATTAGGGTTATATTTAGTTACATTAGGGTTATATCAAGGTTATATCAGGGTTATATTTAGTTA